ATAAAAAGATCTAAGGAAAATCAAAGGGTTTTAGATCATGAATCATGGAATTACGAGAAGAAAATTCTAAGTATGGTCTACATTCATAAAATTTGAAGAAAAATACGGGGGATGTAGTCAATCAAACAATCCCACATTTTGATTGTAATTAAGAGTACGTACACTAAATAGCAATAATTACGAAATATTGAAAGAATATAGACTTTAAGATTTCCAAAATCTAAAATTTTAAAATTTATACCATTTTCATTTTCTCAAGCGTCCGAGAATAAGATTAACAGTTTTTACAATTCTTAATTCACTTAATTAATTTTTTACAATTCTTAATTCATATATGAAACTTGTTTTGCTTTATATTCACTTAGTTTTAGGAACATTTGTTCGTTTAATTGGTATTACATTTATACGACGTAATTCGGTAAGTTGTTATTCTGTATTATCAAACATGAATATAGTTGAAATATGACTTTAATTAAGCATGTTTAGAATTAAATGTTGTTTTTTGGGGATTCAAAAATGTTTTAAATTAACGTAACCTTGGGAGGAATATGTGCAATTAAAACATCTTTAAATGAAATTTATACTTATTCTCTCTTTTCTAATTTACCTTCCACTAACCCAACTACCTCAATAGTATATTACTTTATGACTTTCTCTAATTCCTTCTAAAGTACTGGTTAGATTATTATCGCTTTTTAATACTACAAAATTTATTAATTAAATACGGGGTTTTAAAAAATATAATGGGAAGAGTATGGTAGATTAGAAAGATAACTCATATTATGGGAATTTTTCATTTGAAAGGATTAAAAAAAAAAAACACATGAAAAAATATGTTCGAAGAGGTGTCGATCTTCTGACCTCCAGTTCATGCGTACAACTTTAATATACATACTTCCGCACCACCAAACCATCACACATTACTATGTGCTATTATACAAGAAATTATATATAAACTTAGTATATTTTCTTTGTACTATTTAAAGTTCATTTTTTTTTCAAAAAAAAAAAAATTTTAAAGGGTAGCACGTGCTACCCCTTGCCTCTATGTCTTCCAAACTGCTGCCTCTATGTCTTCTCACAAAAGAAACTAATTTTTTAAAGAAAAGAAAATAGGGAAAACATTTTGATCGTTCAACTTCCAAACTCTCTCCCCTGTGAATTGTGAAGCTCATTGAAGCAAAATTTGTGGTGAATCACTTTGACAAACTGCTGTTTAAGGTTAGTACTTAACATTTAACTTGATTTTGTGAATTATCTGGTATACATTCTTATGTTTTAGGGTAATGAATGCTTTTCTTATGGGAGGTTCAATTATGTTTTAGGGAATTATGATGTGGTGCAATTCGATTTTGCTAAAATTATGCTTGAGATGCACTTTCTGTATTGTGGATGCTAAAATTTTGATATTTTGATAATAATTTACAGAAAGTGCATCTCAAGCATAATTTAAGCAATTCGATTTTGCTTAAATTATGCTTGAGATGCACTTTCTGTAAATTATTATTCTGTATTGTGGATGCTTAAAATTTGTTTGTGTGATGCATGTTACAGTGGTTTTATATTTTACCTGGGATAAAAAAAATGTGCTCTTTTCTTGAGGCAATGATGATTTGTCGTGCATGAAGTTGATATTGAAGTGCAATGCCATTGCAATTTGTTGTTCTAAAATGAATAAAAGGGCCATTTATATATTGGAAGATATGTATCAACTTGATAAGAATAATAATGTTTAGTCAAAATTATTTGCTTGAATAATACTTTGCCGTACTTAAGGAATACGAATTGTTTATTTTTAATTTGACCGTAGTTAAATTTTTTCGTCGAAAATTCTATAATAGAGAACTATACACTACAATATCAGGTAATTGAATTGATGTGATTGTAAAAATACTAATTTGAAGTGACATAAGAATAGAGAAGTGTAGAAATAAATAAGGAAGGTTTGATTACTAGAGGAAATATGTGGTGCAATACAAATATGGAGGTTCTTGACTCATAAGAGTTGTAGCACTAAAAAAATTAAAATAAGAATTACCACATTGCCCTATTGGTATCCTAACATAGTGTTTGACTTAGAAAGTCTATTATTTGAAGGTGATTAATGTTTGCAAAGAGATCTTTACTATTAAGTTTTTTTTGTCCAAAAAAACATAAGGATGCGAGACTCAAAGGAGCTTGATGATGTTATTGCTAAGTATGAGGATTTTTGTGTTGTGCATGGCCGTATCATGGAGGTCATTAGAGATGGAGCGCATTCACTGAAGATGGAGACTGAAAGAAAAACGACTGAAGTTTATTCAATTATGAGAAACGCGTCTGGAGGTCAAGAAGGAGCTGCTGCTCGAGCACCTCATGTGGTTCCTGAATTTGTCAGGTTTTTAGATCGAGTAGAGAAAATAGCGGCTGAAGGTGCTATTCAACTTCAACGGTTGAAAAAGGATAAAGATAATGAAAAAAGGAATTGGATGAGGTTTTGAAGAAGTATAACAAAAGGGCTAGGGAATAGGAAAGGCTAGATGAATTCAGTTGTAAATCTCAATTGGTTTGTCAACTAAATCATATCGTAGACTATGAATATTTAAATTATTATTAGCCAATTATAATTATTTATTATGCGTCTTGATTAAGTATGAATTAATGATTGATTGATGCTGCAAGTTTACGCGACTATTAAAGTTAGGGTTGTACACAGTTTGGTCTGGACCGTAACAAAATCAGACCAAACCGCATTTTAGCGGTTTGGTTTGGTTTACGGTTTGGAAAAATACGGTTTGGTTTCGATTTTTAGGGAAATACGGTTTGAGGTTTAATATTTATATAATTTTTAAATAAATTATAATAGTTATTACATATTATTAAAAAAAAATTTTAAATAAAAAAAAAACATGAAAAATCATTAGAAGACTAAATAGTCAATATACTACTATACTCTATACTCAATCTCAAATATCAATACTTAAAATTCATTAGGTCATATAACTATAATGTAGTCAGAATTATTTTTTTGGACAAATGTAAAAATTTAATCCCTTTTGGATTAATTATTTGAACTTTATTATAAATTTATTAATATTTGACAATTTTTAGGAAAAAATGTCGTCTCATCATAAACCGCATACCAAACCGCACAAAACCGCATTATTACGGTTTGGTTTGGTTTGGTTTCAATACTAATATGGTTTGGAAAATTGACCAAACCGTATTTTGCGGTTTGGTTTGGTTTCTATACTAATATGGTTTGGTTTGGTTTGGAAAATTGACCAAACCGTATTTTGCGGTTTGGTTTGGTTTAGACTCAAACCAGACCATGTTCAATTATACTATAATATTACTATTTAATTTATTAAAATTATTATGAATTAATAATGCATTAGTTTCTAATCAATCTAAAATGCATGCAATAAATCAGGAAAATATTTAGCAATCAGTAAAAAATTTAGCATCTGAAATTAAATAAAACCATAATAAAACATCAAAATCAAATGACATACAATATATGCAAGTAAAGTCACACATCAAAATCGAACACATAACATAATTATGAGTAATTTTTAGCAAAACTCCTAATTTAAAGGTTAGAGATATGATGAGAAGATTAATCTCTGATCTGATATGTACTAATATTTAAGTACGTAGTATTAAAATGTGTAACCCAAATTTTATTTAAATTAATTTCATTTATTTCAAATACTCAATCATTAATGAACCGTACCCAAGCCGCACTGATACAACCCCAAACCGAGAATCAAGTATTTAAACCATTTAAGAGCGACCCAAAGTTAATAGTTAATAATTCCAACACTTTAAATACATCCTGTTACAAACCGAAAACCGATAAACCAACACAAAACTGAACGAAAAACCCGATTGACACTCTTAGTTATTATTATCTTAAGTGTGACTTCGTTTTACGTGCACTGAGTGAAAAAGTCAAATATTCCCTTTTGTAACCTAAAGAAGGAATTCGAAAGGACAATTAATAACTAACGGCTTGCCTTTGCAATTAAACACATCTACCCATCATTCCTCTGCAATCAGAAACGCCTTTTCATATCAATCTTCTTCTTCTATTGTTTTTACTTCAAAGCTTCAAACCTCTCCCATGGCAGGAAGCGATGATGAAACCCCGTTCAATGATTGGTACCGAAAATTCCTTGTAAAAAGGAAAGATAATGTAAAGGGGCAGTTCATTGCATCCAGTCAAATTCATTTTCAACTAAAGCATAAGCTTGAAATGTTTATGGAAAAGATGAAAGACATTGATGCTGAAATTGCTAAATGTGATGAGGAAGCGAGAAACAAAAACAAAGAAAAGAACTCAAAATGTGCTGAGGATGGCGAAAATGAAAAAAAGGGTAAGGATTTAAAAATTGGTAGCGATTTTTAGTCTCCGATTAATCTTGATAGTGATACGGATGAGGAGCCAGTCCGGAAGAGAAGAATTGTGGGTGTCAAAGGAAAAGGATGTGAAAGCAAGGGTGAGTGTAGTAAGTTTATATGACTTTGATTTAGACTATGAAGTTGTGGATTAATTTCTTCCTTAGTGCATTGCAAATTAGGTACTTGTAATATTGTTTTTGGATGTCATGAAATGGATGCTTTGCTAGCAATGTCTGCTTTCTGTAATTTGTGTTATTAGTGGTCAATTTCCATTTTGGAGATGTTTAACTTATGTTATTTCTCTAGCATTTCTTTGCTTAATTATTAGTTGGTAAATTTGTGAAATTATGCTTTATTTCAATAACTTAGTAGACAATTAATTGGTGAATTGTTGGAAGAATTATAGTTGATTTTACTGCTTATATTTTGATTGTTGGTTAACTTGTGAATTGATTGTTGGTAAACTTGTGAATTTAGATTTAATTTTAACATATGTAATATTGAATATAAAAATTTCTTTCAAATAACGAATTATTATAGCATTTATAAAGAAATAATCAGGACAAAAAATTACAAAATATTTTGGTTGGGATTTTGGGATCGTATCCAAATATCCGATTTTCATTTCCACTAGATAATAGAGATGCATAAGATTGCATTAGATTGCATTTGAAATCATAAAAGCAATTTCAGATTAGGACGTAGGTACTAGACTTTTAAACACATGAAAAACAAGTGCAGAAAACACCTAAACTAGTACTAGGTCTACATCAAATATAAGATGATTTGCTGTCCTAGACAACGTTATGAAAGCACCTTTGTTCTCTTGAACATTGTAGCAATCGAGAAAATCCCTCAGCTTTCTTATAAGGCACTCAGTGATCACACCGTTTTTTTTTTCAATGTATAATTCCACATCGAACTGAGTGTCAAAGTTTTGGAGTACAGCATGATAAGTTGTCTCAGGGTAATGAACTAGCCAATGCCTTGCAAAATTAATTGGGATATTCTGTATAAAAAAGTAGAATAATAAAAGCGTGATTTCACATAATAAAAGCGTGATTTCACTAAATAAGCTCATACCATGTGACAAGTAAACTTATCAAAGTCTTATAATCAAGATACTTACAATAGCTGCTTTACGAAGATAGGCTGCAGTAAAAATAAATCGGAAATTAGGTGAAGGGCAACCTTGCACAAGATCATCAATCCATTCATTGGTCTCGATCATTTCCGGAGAAGACCTTAGATAAGCCGGTATACGCCCAATACGTCTTTTACTAGAACTCCCTACGTCTTTACCTTTTCCTTTTCCTTTGCTTATGCTTCCCCTTGAAATCTGGACTACAAAAGCATTGTGCCCTGAGTAAGTGAAATACAAACTGTCCCTATAATTTAAGCAATTGTCCTTCACAAACTCAGGCCAACCAGCTTCCAAGATAGTTTTCCAGCCATTATTGACATCCTCGTCATCCTCTTCATGCACCATAGTTACTTTCCACTCTTTAACACTACCATGCAACAATATGCGTACACACAAAGAACCATTGTCTAAAACATCTCTGAACACACCAGGAATGGGCTGAGTATACACACACATTTGAATTAAAATCATTGCAGGTGATAATTGGAATAGCACCAAACTAGAGTATAATTATAAAAAAACTACAAACTAAAACGAAATAAGATGGAAACTCTGGTTTTTCCATACCACATACCAGGCTATTTTTCCCATCAAAAATTCAACATAGTAATAATTAATCAACATAGTAAGAATAAGAGGTCAAAGTAGATGCATAAGTAGAAAATATGTCCATTCACAATAAACTTCTACACATGCATAAGTAGAAAATTTTTATTCATTAGATCAGCAACCAAAAAGCAAATCATTCAATGACAATTAAATGTTATAAAAATTCAAATAACTTATAATCAAAATTCACCAAACTTAAAATCTTTGATGCTGAAAAGCATACTACTCAACAGTTATAAAATATAAGATACTAGGGATAACACAATTAGAATAGCACAATCCAACTTAATTGTTGCAACACTAATTAAGATTAATGAAAATCCTGACTTATTAAATCCTTACCACGCTACATTGATGCTCAGTAGCATACTCAACAGTAAAGGAGGCAGTGAGTGAAGCCATAGAAGCCTTTATGCAAATGGAAAATCAAAGACTTAGCCCTTGGCTATTATATAAAAAATCTTCAAAAAAGGTTAACACCGTACTAAAATACTAATATATCTTTGGCAGAAATCATTAAGTAAGATTCTTTTCCAAAAAAACTACATATTCCCATAAAAATTTCAACATAGTAATAATTAGTAGATATGTTTTTTGTCATTCATATGTCCATTCACAATAAACTTCTATACATGCATAAGTAGAAAATATTTTTTACAAAATTTTATTAATTATATTACTAATTGACTTAATCGTTCATTAGTGTAAACAAATAATTCAAGTATTATAAAATTATTTGTTTACACTAATGAACGATTAAGTCAATTAGTAATACAATGAGTCCTTTATTACTAATTAATTTAATTTAATTACTAATTGTTTTAATATGATTTATAATTTTTTCATTTATATTAATAATTACATTGACTTAATTGTTCATTAATGTAAACAAGTAATTCAAGTATTATAAATTTTGTACATAATAAGTAAAGTACAACAACACTAAGTTTTTTCTGACGAGGGATAGCAACGGGTCAAAATTGTAAAGATCCCACTGTTAAGAATATGAGAGAGTTACTTTCGTATTCCTTACCATAATCCTTACACTCAAAATTTCAATGACACTAATCATGATAGGTAGAATAGATCAAGTAAAGAGATTAGATCACACAGTATCTAAATATGAAACGAGAACACCATTAACAACACAAAGTTTCTAAATCGAGTTCACAATTAACATAACTCGGGTGTTTGGATAATAAACTCAAGACAACATTCACCATGATAATAAACTCACACTAGTGTTTGGATCAAACGTTTTAGCCCACATATGTGATATCTCACAAAGCCAAATTAATTAGAATAAATGGGAGTCTGTAGAATATTCCTCGGTCAGTGTCTGTAGAGGAAGTTCTTCACATGATACTTGAACTTCAGTCGAAACATTCCAAAACTTAGCATATGGGTTATGACCCTTTTTACGCTTCACCTGCAATGAAAAAATGTTAACATCATATAGAATGTTAACAACATATAGCATCTTTGGGTGAAACAGCTTCCAAAATGTTACCGGTAACTTAGTTCTGACATTGGAGCTACTAGGTTGGGGTTCAACTGACTGATTGTCACAGTCCTGCAAGCAAGTATAACATAAGAGAGTTAACATATTCAGAAGAATACATGCAATTAAGGAAAAATAAAAATTTCTAGTGTTACATGTAAGACCTTTCTTGTGTTAAGCTTGGTGGTATTGTAACCTAACTCAGCAGGGTTTAGTTCCGAGATCCCTTTGGACGGCCTCGAGGTTTTTTTTTAATAATTGGATCTTTAACTCCATCATTGTTGGTTGTAGATCCTTTACTGATATTGGGGTTAGGTCTGGCACAACCGGTGTTCGGTGTCACTGCATCGGGTGATGCTTGGTGAGTAGATCTTGGTGTGATCGCTTGGGGAGTTGATTGGTGACTAGGAGTTGATCTTGGTGTGAATACTTGGGGAGTTGATTGTTGAGTAGGAGTTGAACTTGGTGTGGTGGTTGGTTGAGGAAATGGAAGTGAAGACCTAATTTCAGAGGTCGGTAATGTAGTATTCTCCATCAGTTTTGCGCGACTTGCTCTGACCTCTTCACATAGCTTTTTAACTACTGCTTGGACGGTCTCTACTGTGTAATCATTTACTGCAGACGCTTCCTCGCATAAAGAATCAAGATAAGGTAGCAAGGTGTTGTACCCTTTTCATTCCTCTGTTTGACTTGTATCATGGTATGCAACTTTGACCCGGGTGTGCCTCCTAATCACGTCTTTCCGCCATCAGGAAATTACGTACTTGGGGGAGTATCTTTGACCTTATTCTGATCCCACACTCTTATGACGTGCCTACATAGTCCCATCCTTCTCAAACTTACGACAGTCACAACTACATTCTTTTGTAACTGGATTGAATGTCACTGAGTAAAACCTGTACCACTCAGTCACTACATCTTCATTGGTGCCACTTTTCCTGATCCAAACTCGATCTTCAATCAAGTACTGAATTGCAGTAGCACTTATAATGTCCTCTACCTTCAGAACAACATACAACATTTGAGCACATTCTCTTAGGACATCCTGAAATTTTGTATCAGTTTAATTTTTTTGGAAAAATCTCTCTACCTTAAATACACTAACAAGACGCCTGACGTATTTGCGGTCCCTATCATCAGCATCTATCTCATCATCCACACGCTTTTTCAGAGATTGAGAATATTTTTCTGGAACCTATTAACAAATCCATCAAAGAACCTATTAATGCTCTCAATCCTCTGCGTTGTTTTCATCCCAACCCAACAATACTCTTTCATATATGCAGGCACCCACATGTGCCTCTCTACAAACAACTCTTAGAGCCATTCATTTTCTTCCAAATCATACAACTTCACTACTTCACACCACCTTCTTTCGAATTCATCTATTGTGAAGCTGTCGTATATCACATTCTTCAAAGGATTCTTGAAATCGTTATACCTAGAAATAAGGTCAGAATGTTTTCTATCACTCACACCTTATAATGCACATGTAATTAACTGAGGAAAAACAACTCAAAACCTAATCCAAATCAGTTAAACAGAATTTTATAAAGCAACACAACCTAATCCAAATCATCAAAATTCCATTTAGAATACAAGAGACATTTAACTCTTTAGCCTATCACAGAAATTACTTACTTGGCACACTTCCCAAGTTTCTCAGGAAATTTCCTCAGTATATGCCATATACACCATCGATGTCGGGTGTTGGGCATAACTTCGGCTAGTGGCTTCCTCATTGTAGCTGCTTGATCAATTAAAATAGCTGCGGGAGCCTTGCCCATACAAGTCAACCATTATCGATAAATCCAAGCAAAAGTGTCACAGTCTTCACGCAAAACAAGAGAACATCCTAACAACAGAGAATGACCATGTTGATTCACTCCAACAAAGTTAATAAATGGAAGATCGTACTCATTTGTGAGATAAGTCGCATCAAAACAGACAACATCTCCAAAATCTTCATACGCTATCATACTCCTAGCATCAACCCAAAGTACATCATTCAACCGACCTTCTTCATCCAACCTATGAGCATGGAAGAATTTCAGATTGTCAGCTTGCATGTAGTAAAAAAATGTCATCATCGCTTTTGCATCTCCACCCGCCATCTTCGACCGTTTATCCTTATAAACCTCATGTTGCATATCCTTAACATTAGGCAAATTTCCATTCTCCGTGCTCATACATCCACGAATTTGAGTCACCGATACTCCAACCTCATAATAATTAATCAATTTCCTATGAACTGACGGCGTCATCTTCTTCATACGATATTCTTTAACTAACTTAGCCAAAACGGGGTCCAAGGTATGAGTATGCTCCAACTCCACCGTTATCAAGACCCAAAGCCCTTCACGATTAACACTGCCGTAAATCCTAGCTTGGCAATAACATTTTTTCGACTTCCTTCTGCCCCTAGCAAGCTCATCCTCCAAGATGTCACCATTCTCATTAGCAACACATCCGCCAATTTCCATTAACTTTTCCCTTTTCTTTGCGTCACCCTTTTCCCTCATATTTGGGGCACCCCAACATTCACACTTCCAGGTCATTCCCCTTCTCTTTTTCTTAATCATGAATGCACTTTGAACCCTGCTAACTCCAAAGCCACATTGCTCTGCGTATGATTTATAATATTCCTCTATTTCCTGCCAGCTACGGAACACCATTCCAACTTTTGGAGGTTCAACAGAGGTCATCACAGACTTTGTAGAAACACTTTCAGGGCTCTCTATGGTCTGAATTGGCCCAATTGGGGAAGAGGTCTCCCCCATTGGTGTAAGGGAAATGTTGTCCAACTTGTCTATATTAGGGACTATTTCAATCAATGCCCCTAACTCATCCATCTTTGAACTTCTTCCTAAATTACTACTAACACCACAGGTCACTATGAAGACACTAGTAGAAATTCACCCAACATCAGCCAAAACAGTAGAAATCCAAAAATAAGATTAGGTCATACACACATCAACTCAATCAAAACCATTGTATAATTAAACAAGTTCGCAATCAAAATTCAAAGGAAAATTTAGAAACCCTGCATTTATTTAATGTGATTCAAAACAAGACTATCAGAACACTGCCTAACTCCAACACACTACATAACAACAATGTGGCCAGATTATGAGGTAATTACATAAATAATTTCACCAATTTAAACAGATGTATAACAACATGAAAACCAATTTCACCATATTACAGAAACAATTTCACCAATTTACGTCAAAGAATACACAAATCAAGCAGTAAAAAAAGTACATAACACCGATTAAACCTACATTAACACCAATTTCATCAAATTAAAGCATCAATTTCGCCAATTTTTACACAAATCAATCTCAAAACAAGCAAATTGCAAGTAACTGAAATGAAACAATTAAAAGCTTAGTATGAAAGCAACCATTTACAGCAGTTGGTGATCCATGGCGATCTAAACCATGACAAAAGTGAGGAAAAATTGAGGAGATGCGACAAGAGGGGGAGCAAAAATTGGGACGACAGTGGAGAGAGAATGAAGAGGATGAGCAACAGTTGGGTAGGGGGGAACTTGACGCCGTTAGTTCACCTCAAACCCCAACATTTACAAAAAATAATAAAATAATAACAAATCCCACGTGGTAGGTGAGATATCCGAAAACAAAAAATCACTGAGAGTAACTAGGCATCACTCTCTCTCAAATTTCTGCAATTTTTAATTTGTTTTAAATTTTAAATTGTCTTTTTATATGGAGGAGAGAGACTGGGAATGCAAGGAGGAAGGAAATGGGAATTGAGAAAGGGAGGGTGGCTAGCTGGCTGGTCTAGCTATTCCAGCGGCGCGGTTGGATCCGGCCAGTCGGCGGGTGGCACTGAAGGTTTTTTTTGTTTATTCTTTAATTTTTATAAAAATTATATATATATAGAACAATTAGAAAAAGGAAAATTTGTAAAAAAAAAAAATTAAAAGCACCATTTTGCGGAAAAAAACCTTTTAAAACCTTTTTGGTTAAAAAAAACCCAATTGTGAAATCTAATATATATATATATATATATATATATAT